TCAGTATCTTATTTCAGTGAAATCTACATTTCTAAGGCAAATTTGCTGACATACTTCTATCTCAATTATGCGGATTCAGTTTTGAAACATTTCAAAATCATTTTGAGACCAGACAACATACTTCATGTTCATGGTATAAAACCACTTCCATCTATGGAATTGAGAACATAATGTTTCAACTGAAGAGAGATATGTTTTTCTTCATTGAATCAAACAATAATTTTTATATCATCCAGTATTTACTCCATTTTGAGTTTTTACATCCGGACATTCTCCTGATCTATCCACAGAATGTCAATTTTTCAAAAATCATTTGAAACATTTAATGTTATTCAATTATTTGTTGACGAAATGCATCATTTTGAAGAAAAAGATATTTCTTAGACATTAAGAGTCTGATCGAAAAAAATCTGAAATGTTTCGCGAAAAGACATGATTATAGTCGAAAAAAAAGTATTAAAAATATTTTTCTCAAACGGGAACGTAACGACATCACTGCAATTTTACACTTCTTCAATTATCATCCTGTAGATCGTTCATCTGGAATATTTGTAGTCTGATATTGCTCTGACGAGTAACTGGAAGATTGGGCTAGCCAACTATGAAAACCGAATGGAAATTAGTTATGGAATCCATGAGCAATTCGATTTTGGACCACGACGTTTATTTTGTTGATCAGTTTATTTATATATCACTTCAGAAAGATAACAGACTTCCGATTTTAACCATACTAGTGAAGCGAATTCAAAGTCTAGGGAACTCATTCAACCTAGAATTGTGAGTGAAATGAATATTTTCACTGAGAAGCACAGTTTGCTCGCACAAGACTCTCGAAGACTTCGACAGTACATAGTGTCCCAAATTGCTTGATTTTTGTAGTTTTTTTCTTCTATTTCCAGAACAGCTAGAGAAAAACTGACCAAGGAGTCTAGAGCTCGATTTTTGTGAAACGTCCATCGGTGAAAACTGCATTTCGATATCTCTAACCCGTTTCCGAGAAATAGGCAAAAATTAACCTTTGACCGGTTTCGAAAGTATGCCATTTTTAATTTCGGATGTTTTTCTAAACGGAAAAAAACTCTACAGGCACTTTTTAGCTTATCAACTGTCTGATAACAAAGCCAACGTTTTTATCTCAAATAGAAACCATAGTTTGACTCCAGAAAATCGGAAAAAAGTGGCTTTTCAAAAATATATATGTCAAGATATGTCTAGTCATCCATCCTTACTATTAATACAACAACAATACAACGTTGGCTTTGATATCAGACAATTGATAGGCGATATATTTTTTTGGCAGCCGTAACTTATTCTACGTTAAGAAGTGCCTATAGAAAATGTTTTCCGCTTAAAAAAGTATCCAAAAATAAGAATGTTATGGCATATTTTCAAAATCGGTCAAATGTCAAATTTTTGCCTATATCTCGGAAACGGTTAGAGATATCAAAATACGGTTTTTACCAATCGACATTTCACAAAAATCGAGCTCCAGACCCCTTGGTCAGTTTTTTTCTAGCTGTTCTAGAAATAGGAGAAACTGCCAAAATCAAGCAATTTAGGGCACCCTGTACACTGACTGATTTTGTATACAGATCAATCTGTATTTTTGCATGTCTTAAGATTCATTGTTTTTATCAATTGCTATTCCTTTGGACTGTTTGAGAATAGTCCAAGAGAATAAGAATTATTTACCAAATTGCAAAGCGGTTTAGCAATTAATCTGGCGACCGATTTGATCACTCTAACAATGGTTTTTTCATTATTGTTTGAATTTCTTCGGTTGTTGTTGGTGTTAGAAAGACACTTGTATGTGCCCCATGAAGACATGTATCGAAGTTAGACACCTGGCGATTCTCATTACAGTCAGAAAAATAATTATTTATAAAATTTGCTTGCTCCATATCTAATCATCTCATCACAGAGAAACATTATATTAATAATAATGAAGTGCTTCATTGATCATATTACGTAGAGGTAAATAAATAATCAATACAATACAATCAAATAGCCATCGACCTGAATACTTCAGCCAATAATATGCTATGTCTTATTTTGAATTGTTATTTCCTATAAACTATGGATTTTCTGTTAGATCATTCAATAGCATTATCAGAGACTTTTCTGGAACATTATTGGTTCTTTCTAGAATCACTATGGATTCACATTTTTGAAATAATTGAAAATATGAGAGAAAAAGTTACCACCACCCCCTTTTGCGCGAACTGACTTAGGTACTGGTAAGAAATACACCTATCTGGCGATGAAACAAACCATAAACCGACTTCAAATTGAAAAAAATTGTCCGATTTCAAGTAGTTCCGGGAAAACAATTCTTGTTTCTTGACTCAAACATCCTATCCTGTATGTCAAGAACTGAAAACTCGAAGATCTTCCTTAGTCGTTATAAAATGGGGAGAGCAATATAAGGTAATCGAGAAACATAAAATCTTATGTATATGAGGTCATTGAGAAACATAAAATCTCAAAGACTGAGAGAATCTGTGGATTTTCTTGAATCGGTTGTCAGCTGATGCAAGACATACTGTTTCGGCTTTCCAAACCGCATATGTTGCACTAGGTCAGCTGACAATCAATTCACGAAGGGTACTTCAATATATGTTATAAAGCATAGTATGAATGGCGAAGAACGTTGATTTAGCAATTTAGTGGTGAAAAGTGCAAATATGTATAAATGGGTTGTTAAAAAAAAAATTACGTGCGAATAAGTCAAAATGTCTCAACCCAGCAAACTATTGCCACACCTGGAAATTTTAGAGTAGTTTAGTATTCCACTGAAAAGTGTTGAGAAACCTAGAATCTGAAGACTAAGATAAAAGAAATTCTAGGAGATTTTCGTGAATCGATTGTTAGACATTTGGCTCACAAGTTATGCAAATATTCAACACTCAAAGCAAGTAATGACCGAATGAATAAATGAACAGAAGCACAGGTGCCTACAAATGTTTTACCTTACTCATCTCGACAGACTTTTCAAAGGACTTGTGGATTTTCTGTAAAAATACTGTGACTTATTTCATGAACTACTACTCCGAGATTTTACCTATCAACTTAAGCAGCAGTAACTGAATTTCTGCTGAAATCCCGAATTGTCTCATACTTCGCTTATCGCAATAAAAGATCCACAACATCGGCCTTGATACACATTTTGGAAAAAATACTTGAGGCTATTGATGAAAACAAATTTTCCTGTGCTACAATGTTAGATCTATGTAAGGCATTTAATTGCGTTACGCATGACCATCTTTTGAATAAGTTGGATTATTATGGAATAGGAGGGTCTGCACTCAAATTGATGACCTCCTATTTAGATAGTCGACAGCAACGAGTTGTCCTACCTCCTGGTGAGCAATCAGACTATCTACCTATTAAGATTGGTGTCCCTCAAGGATCCATATTGGGACCAATATTTTTTATTATTTTCATCAACGACCTTCCAAAATATGTGAATCCTCATGCAATGATATTATATGCCGATGATACAACGATTGTGAATACTGGTTGGGATATAAGTACATTGAGTTCTTGAAAACTGAGAAACCGCAACAAAATCGTCTGAATGGTTTTCAGCAAACAATTTAAAACTCAATACAGGAAAAACCAATGAAATATTTTTCTTCAATCATAAAGAACAAAAAAGTGTCAAATTATTAGGCATTCACACTGATACAACATTGAACTCGAAAGATCACATCGATTACACAGCAGCGAAATTGAATAAAGTAGTATACCAAATTAGAATACTAATGGAATTCACCACTGTGGATACTGCACTCACATATTATTATAGTAACTTCTATGCGATTTTTCCTTATGGACTTATATTTTGGGGATACTCCGTGGGCAGTGACAGAATTTTCAAACTCCACAAAAAAAATCGTGAGAGTATTGGAGAACGCTGGTTACCGAGATCATTGCAAACCGTTATTCAAAAAGTTGAATATTCTAACTTTACCTTCGGCTTTCATCTTACGATGTATCATGTTTGTAATGGAAAATGAGAACTCTTCATCTTCGAATTCATCCTTGAGTATACCCTACCACCGGCTTCAAAAAACGCAACAGCCAATCAATTATACATCTCTCAAGCTTTTTAACAAATTGCCGATTGTACTGAAGAATGCACCGATCAAAAAATTCAAAGCAGCAATGGGCTTATATCACAAAAAATTTTAATTTCATAATTCGATAGAACTCACCCAAATTAGCTCACTACCGCAAACCGTTTCTTGCTGTGAGCTCCCTACGTTTTATAAAAAATTATTAAAATCCCCGATTTTTCGGACCTCTGAAAACGAGGCGATGATGTGACGTCAAAACCCTAATACAGAAACAAGACTATTCCAGACACAGATGAATGATACATGATTTCTGACAGAGTGAATTAGCGCGAGATCACAGTTGAAAGAATTAATAAATCAGTTGCCTCAGTCTCCGTCGGGCGTTTGGTATTTTCTTCTAACTATGGCGAGATGAGGTTTCAACGTCATAAGAGGATCCGTTTTCAGAAGGTACTATTATCTATGTCCAAAAATAAAACATTCCAGTTAATATTTCGATCGAATTATGTCGTCAATTATTATTTATGTATAAAAGGATCATTATAAACATAGTTTGAGTTAAAAGTTCTACTAAGGTGTACACGCCCATTGTGAAAATTTTACTGAACAATGCCTCCTATTCACATGATGAATTTCTTGAGTTCTCCTTTTACGAGACACCATTGTGATTTTTGAAAAAAATTTTTGAACTGTCAAGTCTTATATTTTACTTTTTGAAACCGTTTTATGCACACATATATGTATCTCATTTTTTTTTAAATTGTGATCGTTTCATATTTTCTGTACATGACAACCTAAAATGTATTGTAAACATAACTGGGGCTAATAAATTATTATTATCATTATTATTGTTATTATGAGATCCCCTTGTTTTCGGTTGAAAAATGGGCACCCTGTATATAATTTTCAATTTTTTCACAGAGTAGTTTAAATGGGCACAAGAACATCATTGGATATGTAGACTCGAGTATCACATCTACCGGAGGAGGAGTCTATGAGGTATTGTTGTTGATGCCCTACTGTCAAGAAAATGTATTCGGTTTGATGAAGTCTCGGGGAAAGGCAAACTTTCTGGAAAGTGAAGTATTGACGATATTCTGTGATATTTGTGAGGCAGTGTCACGACTACATCATTGTAAGACCCCTATAATTCATCGTGATTTGAAAGTAAGTGTCTTATTGATTTATTTTTCTCAAAAGCCCTAATTTTTTGTTGTATTCCCCTTATTTAATTACTGATCGGATAATAAGTCCCCCCCCCTTCCCTTGCCCTCTGAACACGGTCAGCTAAAATTTGGGTGAAAAGGTACTTATTCTACTACTTTTTGGCATAAAAAATAATTACGAAACTTGATATGTTTTGTACAAACGTACGAACATACATGCCAAGCTAATAAAAACATGGTAATAATGGACATCCAATTTCGTATAAGTGGAATTGAACATAGAATCACATAGTCACATAGATGAATATTACATCATTATAACACTAATGGCTTCAACCCAATTGGAGAATAATCCGTAATCTTTATTTTCTGTATGATAAAAGAACCTGTGAAATTTTGTAGGTAGACAAATCTCGACTCGACGCTGTCATTCAGAATTATTATTATAATATGAATGGCTAACAATTATTGTTATATGACAGCTGAAAATATTTAAATATAGCATGTTGGTCTACAGAAATTAATTTTATTATTGTTGAGAAAACTTTTATTGAGGACCGGACCATTCAGTTACTCTGCTTAAATTTCATTGATATTGTTTTTCATAATAGTACTTTTGCAGTTGAATCTGAGAAAAAAATATTATTCAATATCTTCTTTCATTATCCACAAAACTTTATGATAGCAACTTTATGATAGCGTGTACATCTACCAGAGTGATCAATATTCACTCCTAATGTTTCAGGTAGAAAATATTCTTGTCAATGAAAATGGAAACTATGTATTGTGTGACTTTGGTTCGGCTACAGCCAGGGTACTGAATCCTTCAGAAAAGGGTGCTTCTGCAGTAGAGGAAGAGATCAAGCGATATACAACACTAAGTTATAGATCACCAGAAATGGTAGATATGTATTGTGGCAAACCAATTTCTACAAAGGCTGATATATGGGTGAGTTCTTTTCTATAAAGCTCATCATGTAACCCATTTGTTGAAAGTTTTCAACAATCTCATTTGAATACAGTTCTGAAAGTTTGGAACTCTTGTCAAAATATGCCAGAGATGTAGCACTCCTGGTTAAACTGGAAGTGGTCACAAGCATCCTTATTGCAAATGGAATACCCTGTATTTCATTACCTGTTTAGAAACCTATGTGTCATTTCGAAAAAATCGTATATGTCCTTATAGACATTTTCAAACGTTTTTTTAATAATTACGATTTTTGTGAATATGTTATACCTGTCATACCACAACAACCAATCAGATGCTTACTATGGTCCAGCAATTTTTTTGAAAATTTTCCATCCACATGAGCATGTAGATTAAAATTTAGAAGTGGACATTTTCTGGCACATGGCAGATATCATATAATTAGACAATATTGAAATAATATTGACAATATATTATATTTCCCGGAAACCTAGTGAGAAAATTATATGAAATCAATTATTTGTATATAATAATGTATCTGATACTATAAATTCTATTTTACTAGGGTTAGGGTAGAAGGAGAGTAAATGTTCACTTAATGTTTTCTTTTTAAATACAATTCCAGTATAACATTTTCTTACGAATCCCCCACGTGCATGAATTAATTGCGGGAAATGTCTCGTACATGAATTTTTAACCCTTTCGAGCCTGTCGGTACACATATGTACTAGTAAGAATCACGCAAAAACTACAAGCAAATATTCATATTTTATATGGTTCCTCTATGTACCAGTAGGTCTCCTACCTCCCTATGTAACTTCGATGCGCGGAATTTCATTTGGGGTTATGTGGTAGCTATTTATTTGTGCCAGCCCACGTTCTACGCTCCGTTTTCAGTTAATTTTGACGAAAAAAAGTGACATAAATTGTGCATATTGTGTGTGTGCAGTGGTACACATATGTACCAGCAGCCCTTAACTGCACTGATGTTCGTACATGTATGTACCGATAGTCTTCTGTATTGACTTTGTTATTTTTTGTCTCAGACGAGGTCCAGAAAAATATGTATGGATCAGTTGTACCACTTCGCTGACTATTTGTCAGAAGTTTCAAGTTTATCCGACTTTTCGTCAGGCAGTAGCGATTTATGGGAGCCGATATCTGCAAAAAATTTGTACATATAATATGTACCACCCTCAAGGACCCTCAGAGACTGGCGGTACATATATGTACCATCCCCCCACCACTTCTAATAAATAACAAGTAATTAAAATTTTGATGTAGAGGTTTTATTTGATCGCCACTGACATTGAACCAATTAAAATCTAGCCCATAACCCTTAAAACAAAAACTCGTCTCCAAAGGGTGGAAAATTCATGTAAAAATTTTCAGGTAAAATGTTCAGTTTGCAATAGTATCTTTAAAAATGCTTATTTTCAAATTTTTCGAAATTGAATCATTCAAATTTCCACTAGAGCTAGTATTCATGACCATCTTTGAAGTGGGATTAAGAAACTCACTAAAACTTATACATTGTGGTGAAACATACATTGTCATTTTCAGGTTTTCGGAATTCCTTAGTCATAGTTTTCAAATAAATCTAACTGATATTCAGTATCTAACTCAGAGGTTTTCAAGTGAAAATTTAAATTGAATGATTGATAGCAATTAGCATTTAAATGGTAAAATAAAAAACTTTCTCAGTCATAACTTGAGATTAAAAGTAGATTGGAGAGAAACTTTTAAAATGTAAGGCAAATGTTTTTCAAAATTCCTAATAATCTACTTGCCTAACTGACTGCACTGAGAGGAATTGTATACTTGCCTTTTCTATATGAAGCAATCCCGAGCTGTCACCAGATTACAATTTTTTGATGAAATAAATTTCATCAGAAGATTCATCTGAAATTTGTATCCACTTTTTATATCTTTTTTTTTGCAGGCCCTTGGTTGCCTCCTGTATAAGTTATGCTTCTTCACCTTGCCATTTGGTGAGAGCACCCTGGCAATACAGAGCGGAAATTTCAACATTCCAGATAATTCCCATTATTCTAGAGATTTACATAAATTAATAAGTGAGGTTAAATATCTTGTCATATTGATTTTTTATTGATATAAATATTTTTAAGGATACATGTTAGAGCCTGATACAGACAAAAGGCCCGATATTTATCAAGTCAGTTGTATAGCGTTCCAATTACATGGCCGAGATAATCCTGTAAAGAATCTAATGGTAAGTTTTTTCAAGTATTTTTCTCTTTTGAGCACTGGAGATGGCAAGAATGATATTTAAAATCTAGCAAAGCTATATAGGATGTCCCTAAAAGGTGCTACCACATATTCCTCAATCCAAAAAAAATCAATACAAGCAAACTTACCTTAGTACAAAGTTGTTGAGTTTGGACGCTAGACAACTCTGAAGTTACAATTTTCAAATTTTTTTTGCTTCATGACTCTGAAACGACTCAGGAGATTCAACTAAAATTTGGTATTGAAAAGTAATATTAACAGATAAATTATAAACATGAAAGAATGGATATATAAAGGGTGTTCCCTAATGACATGCTAATATTCAAGGGGGCTATTCTTGGACCCATTTCAAGACTAAAACTTCATATGAACATATATCGTAAAATTCCTAACTTTTGAGAGGGTATCAAAGTTGAACATATACATAGATTCTTTTTTTGTCCACCCTGTATAGCTTCTCCTGATGGCGAAATGTATTCTGCTTTGTGACTGAAACGGTGCAAAAATTTCAAAATGTTACATAATGTGGTTATCCAGTAAAAGATACATCAAAATTGAAGTTTGATCTCGTTTTTTCGTTTTTTCTCGAATACGGAGCGTCCTATCGGGTATCAAGAAGAGGATCTTTTTTTTTTCAACATTGAATGACTTTTAATAGCATTTTATTAAATTTGGAATCATTTCTTCGTTGCTCACTTCCAAGTATAATATAATCAATCATATTCCCCTAACGGCGCCACTGGTAGAGAAAAGGAAAATTTTAATAACATCAAAAAATGCACTTTGATGCATAAAAGATATATGTACCAAATTTCATAAAGATGCCTACAATATTATCCCAGTTATTATTAAAAAACTGTTTTTTTTTGAAAACTTTTATCACCCTGTATCTCAAAAGTTAAGACTTTTAGGACATACGTTAGTGGGAAGTTTTTTCTTGAAATCAATCAATCAATCAACTTTATTATTCCCAAGAAACAACATTCGTTTATAGTAGGGAACATAGTGAATACATAAATATATTTGACAAAATAAAATAAAGAAGACAGTAAAATAAGACTCACACTCAAAAAAAATCTTTTTTTTTTCAAGTTCAAATGAATATGATCCTCAATTGACTCAGCTGTTAGGTACACAATTGAAAACTATAGTAGTTGTACAAGAAAACTATAAAAATGAGATAAGATGTCAATATTACAGGAGTAGATGTTTCTTGAATTCTCTTTTAAATTTTTCAATCCTATTAATCAGCTTCAAGTTATTTGGTAGTGAATTGTATTGTATCATTCCATTGTGATAGATGGATTTTTTACCAATATCTGATTTAATTTTCTTGACAGAAAAATGATCTGCTTGTCTGGTTGTATGGTTGTGGTGATTACTATTGACTTGGAAAACCAAATTTGAATTTATATAGTGAATCTATATCTAATAAATCTCTTCTTCTGTAAAGGTTCATAGTAGGTTCCGAATAATTTAGTCTGTATATACATTTGATAATTTTATTTTGAAGAGTTTTGAGAGGCTTTATAATTGATAGTTTTGTTGAACCCCATACAGAAATCAAATATTCAAGTTTAGAATAGATCAAAGAGAAGTATATAGATTTGAGACATTTTATAGGAACTTGGTTCCGTACCCTAAAAAGTATACCTATTATTGGAGATATTTTTTTCCTAAGTATTTCAATATGTTTTGACCATGACAAATGTTCATCTATGTACAGACCAAGAAACTTGATATAATTTGAATATTTGATGACTTCATTATTACATGCAATTGGAAATTTGTACTCATTATATCTTGATTTTTTTGAAATTATCATAAATGCTGATTTACTATAATTTATACTCAATTTATAACATGATAACCATGATAATAATATTTTCAAATCACTTGAAATATCATCCCTAATTTGTTTTGCTGAACGTGCTAAAGAATCACTCCCTTGAATATTAGCATGTCTTTAACACCCTGTATATGAAGAAATACATTGAGAATTCACATTCCCCATGTGATGTGAATATCAATTCTTTCTCGGTTTATTCAACAGAAAACAACTACTCTCCTGTTTATGTGCCACGACAAAAATTGAATTATATCTATTTTACACACACGATAAGAATTTGAAAACAAAATATTCTGAAGTTGAGTATTTGCATTATCTTTCAGATGAAAGTATGTATATGCACATAATATCATTCTGAATATTCAGCAGAAAACAACTACTGTCCTGACTATTTGCCACGTCGGACATTAAATTATATCTGTTGAACATCCAAAACAAGAGCATGAAAAATAAAAATCTTGTGAAATTGAGAATGGACATTCTCTCTTAAATCTAATTAATAATATGATGCATTATGATATAAAAATTTAACTTACCAATATGTTCCGTATTGAAATGAAAATTGAAATGCATAGAAGTATACTTGTATAAACTCTGATCTCGATGAGCTGGGAACTTTCAAAAAAATCATTCATATGGGAATAAATAAAGTCATATAACCTGTTCGTGAGGAGATGTAATTTCCATATCACTGATACAACTGATTAAGTTCCAAGCTCATCAAGATCACAGTTTATACAATTATACTTCTCCTATACATTTCCATTTCCATTTCAATACTGAACATATTGGTGAGTTATATTTTTATATCATAATACATCATATTATTTATCAGATTTGAGAAAGAATGTCAATTCTGAATTTCAGAGGATTTTTATTTTTCATGCTCTCCTTTTGGATGTTTGACAGATATAATTCAATGTTCGACGTGGCAAGTAGCCAGGAAAGTAGTTGTTTTCTGTTGAATATTTAGAATGATATTATGTGCATATACAGATGTGACCCACAAGGGTCACATCTGGGGCCGCTTCTATTCAATATTTTCATCAATGATTTGTCAGGTTGTTTTCATAACACAAAGCATACCCTCTTCGCGGATGACCTAAAAATCTACAAGAACATTGAAAGTCCCAGTGACTACTTAGATTTTCAATCAGATCTGGATAGATTCTCAGACTATTGCTCACGTAACAGACTCCATCTCAACCTCTCGAAATGTTATCAGATTGTGCTTTCCCGTAGTAACAAACACATTATATACGACTTGAAATTGAAAGACCAAATCATCGGAAGAACTAATAGTGTGAAGGATCTAGGAATAACCTTAGATAACAAATTAACTTTTGAGCAACACATCGAACAAATAACACAGAAGTCACTTAGGAACATAGGATTCATATTCAGGGTCACCAAAGAATTCAATTGTTGGAAATCTGTTACTCTTCTGTTCAATGTGAAACCTATTATCGAATACTCATCTATTATATGGAATCCATTCTACAACTGCTATATTGATAGACTGGAAAATGTACAAAAAAAATTCATAAATAGACTGAACTTTAGATTCAACAAGAACAGATACCATAAACCATATGAAAACAACTTGAAATTTTATAGGCTGGAAAATTTGGAATTGAGAAGAAAATTTTTTGATGTATGTTTCATATATAAATTATTCAATAATCTGTCAGATTGCCCATACTGCTTAGAATTATGCTACTTTAATAGCTCGCAACACAACATGAGGAATAGACAACTTTTAAGAGTTCCCCATTGCTCAACAAACTTTCTGCTCAACTCTCCGTCAATAAGATGTATCAAAACTTTCAATAATGTATGTAAATCAAACAATGATCTTGATGTATTCAGCTTCTCATTTATCAGGTTCAAACATGGAGTCAAACAAGTTCTGTACAATTAGTCCTTTTTGATTAGTTAAATACAGAATATATTGCCAAATAACTTCTATAACTATAGAAAACATACCCAGTACTATATGATAAATTGTATGTTCGTCGTGGCATATAGCCAGGAAAGTAGGTAGTTGTTTTCCGTTGAATAAACCAGGAAAGAATTGATATACACATCAAATAGAGAATGTGAATTCTCAATGTATTTCTTCATATATATATTTAGAAATGATAAATATTCTTTGTTACTATTGATAATATGGCATACTTCAGGCGCCAGTCAATAAATTGTATGTTGACAACGTCGCATTTACTTGAGCCGACATGAATGTGAAATGCTACGCATTCACGGCGAGAGGTTTCATCACGTTTCGCTCGCTTCTTACGAACTATTTTTCTACAGATTTCTATATCATGCAAGTATCGCGCTTTTTGTTGCTTGCACCTTCTTGTATACTCTCTTCGCTGGTGGTACCACAAAACTTGTGCTGAATCTTATGATCGTTTCACTTTACCATTCGTACTCTCGATCATACCCAAAAAGCCTGTAAAAACACATCTAATGAAATCCTCTTTTCATCGATCAATCGCTCTGCACTTACCCTAGGTATTCTTAGGTCCGGTTGCATAAAAGACTCATCATGTACTTAATGGCATGGTGACTTAATCATCTGATTAACTTATGATTATGACTATTTAACTAAAAAATCGGTTGCACAAAGGCCAATCAGCTTTAGATGTCACATCAAATCGACATTCATGGCATCAAATTAATCAGTGCTCGACCACTGATTGAAGTGACGACCAGAAAATGACTTGTGAAAGTTTCGCCAAATTATTTCGAAACATTCATGGCATCAAATTAATCAGTGCTCGACCACTGATTGAAGTGACGACCAGAAAATAACTTGTGAAAGTTTCGCCAAATTATTTCGAATATTTCATAGAATTTCTGCAGAATCTGAAAAAAAAGGTTGGCGCTCTTAGTTCTTGTTTCATTTCAAAAAGGTAGGGTAGACAAATGAATCAAATAATGTGAGTAAATGACTATTATATTACAGAAAATGTCTATCTCATCATTGTCTTCACTATCTGAAGAAGAACTACTAATTCCCAGGCCAAGAACCTTTCGAAATAGAAACAATCTATTCGAAATGTATGATGACAATGATTTCAATACCCGATTCAGGTTTTCTAAACCAGTTGTAATGGAATTGAACTCAT